CGGCTGAGCGCAAAGTGTTTCCCACTTTTCGCGGAGAATCTGCCAAACGGATTTATTTATGATTTATTTGATACGACGGGGAACCGGATTCCGCATTCTTCGCGGGCGAAAATTTCTGGCCTTCGATATCGTTGCGTGTGTCGTAATCAATGTCATCATCGTATATACATCGTGGATCGTGGACAGAAAGGAGATAGGAGATAGGATCGCATAAGGGCGGAAGGGGCGCGTTCCGAAACACATCCAGCTGGCGCCTCTCGGCGCTATGGCGGCCGTTATAAGCCCGCTACCAAATCAAGCGTGTGTGACACACTAATAATCGGACGTATATATGGTGTCTATACAGTAGCTCCAGGCACACGTGTATATATATATATATATATATATATGTATATATGTATGTATATATATATATATACATAGAGGTGTAGTGTAGAGGTTTACATACGTATCACACACATTCCTGTCAAGTCTTGTCTACGGGCGCCTATGTAGCTCGCACTCACACGTGCGAAACCATATAGACACCGAGCATATAGGTGTATATCTTGTCAGGCGATACGTATACGAGATCAAACACAGGTGAGCACGAGTATACAGGCCAATTAGAACAAAACGGGCGACATTTTCGCTTTATTTTCATTTCCGTTTAATTAAAATGTCTCTCTCAAGGGATCATCGTACGTATCCTCCTGTGATTCCCAAGATTATCTCACTCGTGGATCGAAGGGACGATCAAACGCGAAGAAAAAAGGAACGAAGGAATGGCAGGAATGGATAACGAAATGGGAAGGGAAACGTTAGAGATTTCGTTACGTCGATGATCGCGGGATGAGGGGGAGCGGCACGTGCACGCGTGTCTCAGAGTTACGTATACGTGCAAACAGAGGCAAGGGATAATGGTTACGAGGAATGAATATATCAGTCGACGCGCGTTGGATCCTAGGACACTGCTATTAGTAGAGCTCGAGGCGCAGGGATACACTGTTGTCACGCGAGTATGCGCTGGTATGCGAGCGAATTCGTACGTGTCAGCCGGTGTGCGTGTCTAATTACGCGTGTGTGAGCGTGCGAGTATATTCCTTGCCTAGAGAGTATCTATTTACGCGTGTGTACTTGTCCGGCGCAAATTGTCGTAGTGGAGCGGCGGGCGGAGGGAGGGGGAAGGGGCGCGCGTGTGCGCGTGTGGCCGGTGATCGCGTATGTGTGACGAGATGTAGCTACAACCGTGATCATATGGGTTACACATACGTGCCTAAGTACTAATGCTAATCCCAACCATAGATTACGAGACGCGCAGCGACGATCAACCGGAACCGTGCCACGGGAAATTCGTGGACCCATTGGCTTCTGGCTTTTCGTCCACAACGCGGACAATTCGATATCGTCCTCCCCCCCTCCTCCTTCGTATTAAATTCCTAAGCTGCAATTTATTTCGCGTCCTCGTAAAAGAAAAAAAAAAAATAATAACCGCACGAATCGAGACTCGAGAATCGTGGATAATTTTTAGAGAAAATTTACCGATGTTTCCTCGATGTTTCTTCGATTCAATTTCGCGTTCCATTAAAAGAATAGTATATAGAGAAGGGAGGAAGAGAGAAAGAGAGAGAGAGAGAGAGTTCTTTGCCAACGGTACGGGCGAGGCATCGTTCGGCAAAAGCTCGAAAACGTACTGGTCGCAGTAATAAAGTGGCACTTGTCGGCCAATTCGACGATAGGGGAAAGAAAAAACAATCAGCTTCGAGACCGGAGCCAGGTCGCCGTCCCATTTATATCAATTCTATTCATTGCCGCTTTTAACCTAGCCCTCGCGACGCCAGTGATTCTCACTCTCAAGATCTACTTCGATAACCAATCTCCTCGCGATTTCCTCCTTTCCCGTATCGAGTTATTCCAAACACCGAACGTTCCCCACGGCCCTTAATTCCGTTAAGAGGAACGTTTACGCGCCCATACGTGTCCCGATTCGCGTAAAATTCTCGTCTCTCGAGGAGTCGCATCGTCGTTAACCGAGTGGACGGACAGGTGAAAACGAGGCGGCGTAACGGGGCCTGTCGGTTTCGTTTAATCCCCGGTTTTCAGCGGCAATTACGCCGACCTCCTGCGAGTCGAACGACTCCGCTTCTCTGACAACGATCACGGCTCGATAGCTCGTAAAATCGGTCCGATTCCGAACTGCTTTCACGACATATATATATATATATATATATATATATATACACACGTATACGAGCGCCAAGTATCCCTTCCTGTGCTCGAATTTTCGTTTTAATCGAATCGTTGAAAACACACTGGCTTAGGACCACCGCGCCATCGACCAGCGCGCACACTTTCGCTTTCTCGTTTCTCTCATTCTCTTCTTTCATGTTGCGTCCATGCCACGGCCAACTTTCTCTCTCTTTCTCTCTCTCTCTCTTTCTCTCATCTATCATTTTTCTTTCCATTCTTCGCGCGACGCCAACATATTCAACGTAATGAAACGCAGACACGGAACGATGGAGAAAAAGATGGCGAGAGATAATCATCCGCGTAAAACGAGAGCGATACGTTTGGGGAAAGAAAACGGGGCGATCAAAGGTAACGCGGAGGGATAAGCATCGGTGTGCGGATTACGAAACGATATTCCACTTACCGCGGCCAACGAGCCTCTAATTTAAACGGTTAATTGCAACTCCTGCTTTTAGCGGAAAAATGAACGCACGCGCGCTCGCGGCTAATTAAGTCTGGCCCAAAGAGAGATAACGCTTTCATAACGAACGCACCGCTTTTTGTTGTCGTATTTTTAAGTGGCCGCCGCCGCCGCCGCCTCCACCGACGATGACTCGGCCAAGATTTTACGCCCGACAAAGCCCGGAAAAAAGCTTCTCGAGAGCGGTGTACGTACCCGAGAGAGCTCAACGTTTCAAACGTTGCAAGTGCCGTACCGGATATGAACCACGGATGGAGGGAGGGGCACGGACCGGAAATGGCCGGCCTTACCTCGGTCCGATCAAAAACTGGTTTCACCAGACGCTCGAAATCGAGATCGTGGGGAGAATTTACAAAAAAAAAAAAAAAAAGAAGAAGAAAAGAAGGAAGAAGAAGAAGAAGAAGAAGAAGAAGAAGAAGAAGAAGAAAGAAGTGAAAAAGAACAAAAACGAAGTAAAGAGCAATTTCCTCTTGGATATCGACGAGCGATAAACACGCTATTCTAACAAATTTGTCAGGTTGTTATCGCCCCTATTTTTTCCAAATTATGCGTCACCGATCTCGATAAACTCGGGACGAGATAAACTTTTACTTCGATCTTAATCGCACGCGTATCTAATACGAATTTGAATATGTTGGTCGCCAATCACCGTCTCTCTCTCTTTCTTTGTCCCTCTTTCTCTCCTGTAATTGCCAATTTGGAGAAGCTATTGCAAAAGTTTCAGGAATAATAGGACCGGCAGCTGTCGATCTAACGTCATTCAGGTAAGAGAGACTAGCCGAGGCAACCTGTTGTCTCGTGTAGTGACGTTCGTCTTTTGTAATCGCGTCGCTTTTGTACCGCTAATAAGCCGCTCGAGTGCCGAAAGAGAGGCGAAAACGGGTCGTGGGGCAAAAATTGCAACGTCGCGAACGTGGCGATTGCGCAACACCGTACGCAAGAGAGAAAGAAAACCGTCCGATCCGATCGATCTGGATCCGCGAAGAATCCGCCAAGAATCCTCGACGCGCAACGGGCACAGTTGCGTTCCACGAGCAACTGGAGGAGATTTATCGAAACGACGCAAGTTCCGGAAACGTGTGATCAACAAGGAGAAATTGAAGTTGCAACTGGAAAAGGAGAACCGCTGCGACCAGTCCATAAAGCCAGAGAGGATCTAGCGGCTGTGTGTGGACTGTACTGAAATAATGTACAGTGCCGTACAAAACGGCAAAGTGGAGGGAAGTGCGGAGGGTACGCGGAACATCGAGGTTCCCTCCTCGTCTCTCTCTCTCTCTCTCTCTCTCTCTCTCTCTCTCTCTCTCTCTCTCTCTCCCTCGCCCAGCCTCGTTCTACCTCTGCCTCGTTCACCGTCAGGGTGACAATGGTGTGCAAAGGAGATTAACAAACAGAATAAGCTAACGCGTAATCGCATTATTTCTGGCTAAGCCGCATTTAAATTAGATAGAAATTCCATTTAACGAAACAATGCAGGGATGATGATGACTCACTGCTGCCATACGAGTCGAAATAGACGAGTTCCTTTGCCGAGTTACTGATATTCTATGTCGCTTTATTACAACGACTGTCTTTCCAGAGATAGCTAATCGTGGACCAATTGCTGTGTGTATATACCCGTTATAAAATCCCTCTTCCCATTTGGAGAGAGAGAGAGAGAGAGAGNGAGAGAGAGAGAGAGAGAGAGAGAGAGAGAGAGAGAGAGAGAGAGAGAGAGAGAGAGAGAGAGAGCTTCGCTAACGACGCTCGAATTTACGCGTATTACACGTAAAAACGAAAAAATACCAGAGTCGCACAACACTCTATAAATTTCGAGCGCAAAGCACGGAAGAAAATTACAAATTTCAGAGCTGATCTCGTGCGTTCAGGAAGAAAAGGGGTGCCGGCTCGAAAAGAAGGAACGACGACCGACGTGCCCGCCCACGTGACGACGGCCATGTTCGTGACGTAATCCTGACGTCAGCGGACCGATGGCGTGCTCCGCACGCTCCGTCGGATATACAGAGAAAATCGTAAACGTGCCCCTATTTTCAATCGACGTACAATCGGATTTACAGGGAAACTCCGTGCACCGTAAAAGACTTGGAGATTGAAAGGAACTCGTTTCCAACTGGCGCATCCGGTCTACCCTTTCCAACGGAACGGAATCGGAGCATCCCCAACGAGCGAGAGAAACTCTTTCTCAGCTACGGCGAAACTTTTCTTCCGGGCCAACTCCGATCGCGAACCGTAACGGCGAGATACGACCGACACGAGGATACCGATCGATAACGGACAAACACGACCATGATCCGTTTATTTAATTCTCTCTTACCTGAGCGCTACCTCCAACGATCGATTGATAGGCCGATTGAAAAACGCTTCCCAACTGCGTCAAACTATCATCTTCCATCTGGAACATTATATCTGTGCCCGGGGAACCGTTGTTATTCAGATTGTTGTTGTTTCCCATCATCTTCTCGGTATTGACGACATCGCGCAGTATCGTGTTCGACTGCATTCTGCGGTTACGACGAATTTCTGGCAACGTGGACGATTCACCACTACCACCACCACCGCCACGATCTCGTTCGGTATCAAATCTCGGCGATGATCGCGTCTCGATGCAGAACGTTTATCGCTCTCATCGTCCAAAGAACCGAAGCCAGCGATCTGCACACACCGTCGGATCGCGATATACGAGCCGGAAATTGTGAACACGATTCCACCGAAGAGACAAGAAACAACTCGCGTCACGTACAAACTTTTCCAAGCATATCAACTACGATCAACGTTATAAATACTCCTCCCGGAGAACGTATTACGCGTTATAGATTTCTCGGGCATCGGTAAACACGCGGATACAGTCTACGAATAGAGCCGGACGCAAACAAAAATAATACAACGAGAGATGTTTTTACGGCGAGACGAGGACTCGAGTCACCGACGCCGCGTGCCACGAGGACGCATCGCGTAGCCGCACTACGATTCACCCGCCCGCCTCCGCACCATCGTTCGCGTGGCGTCGCTTTTCGATCAGCCTTCGAACACCTGTTTCTGCTACGGTCGCGAGACTCGACTATCACGCTCGGTATCACGATTATACCGTATCCACGGATTATACGGTTACGAGAAACTTTCGAGAACACCAAGTTCCGAGCCACGTTATTGCGCACTACGTCCACCCGAACACTCGACGACACCAAAACGATCACAAACTTTGTACTTCACCGTTCCAGTCACACGAGAAGCGTGGAGCGGAAAGGAGATCGAAAAGAGACGGAGGGATATGAACGAAGAAAGAAGATGAGCAGCATCGACACAACCTCCTCTCGGTTCACGGTACGCGACGAGACTGACGCTTCCCGAAGGGAGGCAGTCACCCCACCACTCCCCTTCCGTACGAGTCTACGTCTCCCCCCACTTATTCGCTCGCCTGCTCCCCACTACTCCATGGCTCGACGCGCGCGGATAGCGATGGGTATTTGAATTTCTTTCCACCGAGTATGCGAACAAGTTCCTGTTCGAGATCTTTCTCTGAAATAATTTTCCACGAGAAACATCGATTAACATCACAGATATTTCCATAGTTCCATCTCTCGGTTTTTCTTTGGTATCTCTGGAATGCTCGTATCTCGGAAAAAGAAAAAAAACTCTTCGAAAATTTTACTCGAACGTAAAAAAAAAAATCTCTCGTATGGAAAACTCTCGATCTCGAGACTCGTGCGCGAATTTTACAACTCTTCCTAACGCGGTGATCTTCCGCTTCGTACTTTTGACGATCGTTGGACGATTATTAAAAACGGTTGGGCTCGAGATGATACAGGAATCGTCGAAGCTGTCGCTAGGCACGGGCCTCTCCTCTCCCTGCGAAGTGCAATGGTCGGGCCTGCAGCGTTTCGGTTTATCCTCCCCTCGCCTCGTCTCACCGATGCTCGGCTCACAGGAAGCAACCCCTAGCGCGAAGGGCCAGCGTTTTTGCCCGCACAAGCCGGCACTCGTGTAGCAACGACAAGCGGTGCTACGAGTGTGGGTGGATGATGGCTCTCTGGCTCTCCGCCGACTATGTACCGTGCCGAAAACATCGGTCCACTTGTTGAGTCGAAAAGAGAGCGAGAGAAAGAGGAAGGGAGAGGGCCGGTGTCGGCGGCGCGCGCGCGCGGTTATCTTCTTCCCGTGCACGGCCAAAGTGCCGCTGTTTCGCCAGATAAAATCTCTGCGCTACACGAGATCCGATGAGGGAACAAAGGTGGACGAGCCTCTCGGTCCGTGGACGCGTAACGAAAAAACGAGTTCACACACCGGAAATGAATCGACCGCGAATCATTCCCTCGAAAGAAACACGCTCCGAGTGCGAACATTCGCTTCGAATTTTTCTCTTTTACTCTTCGACAAACAAAATCTCGAGACGATCACCTCGATTCCTGAATACCTTTTTCCCTCGAATATCCTCGAATTTCTCTCGAATATCCTCGATGTTCCATGATAGAACGTCAGAAGTTGGGACTCGAAAAATAAGCGAATGCGAACATTCGCCTCGAATTTTTCTCTTTTACTCTTCGACAAAATCTCGAGACGATCACCTCGATTCCTGAATACCTTTTTCTCTCGAATTTCTCTCGAATATCCTCGATGTTCCATGATAGAACGTCAGAAGTTGGGACTCGAAAAATAAGCGAGTGCGAACATTCGCCTCGAATTTTTCTCTTTTACTCTTCGACAAACAAAATCTCGAGACGATCACCTCGATTCCTGAATACCTTCTTCCCTCGAATTTCTCTCGAATATCCTCGATGTTCCATGATAGAACGTCAGAAGTTGGGACTCGAAAAATAGTGCGAACTTCGCTTCGAATTTTTCTCTTTTACTCTTCGACAAACAAAATCTCGAGACGACTACTTCGATTCCTGAATACCTTCTTCCCTCGAATATCCTCGAATTTCTCTCGAATATCCTCGATGTTCGATGATAGAACATCAGAATTTGTGACTCGAAAAATAAGCGAACTACGGAGAAGATGAGTTGGAGAGGCGAGCGCAAAACATTAATTCGGCAAAGAGGCGGACGATGTTTCTGCGTGTTGAAGTGTCGCTAAACGATCTGTTAGGCGAAAATATCTTTATATTCGGGAGGCTCGGTGACGATGCCGCGGTTTCGGAAAATCTGTCCGGGAAGACAAACGAGATACCTCGTGGCGCCAAAGGTAGGAGCTCGTTAGTTGGAAATTCGTGAGTAATTTTAGTGTCGTACCCACGCGACTAGCCCAAGGTATATAATTACCTAACCTCACCCGACCCAATCTAACCCAGTTGGCAAACGAACGAGAGTTCCAGTTTTCCTCGCTGAGATCCGGATACGGCGAGCGCAATCTCTACGATCGATGGAAAAATTTCCTCGAGGTATCGCGGCCATCGAGAGACGCTAATTAATTAAGCCAAAATCGATTCGATTTTTCTTCCCTTTCACGACAACAACGACGACGACGACAACGACGGGCAAACAGTCATGATTCGTCCGTTCCAACTATTATTTTAGCAAGCAAACGAATTGACATCAATCGTTGCCAAGACCTTTCTATTGAAACCACTTGATCCGATTTCCACTTGATCTCCGAAGCGAACGAATGGGTCGGATCGATCGATCCTCCAAGTTTTTCCAACTATCCACCTGGGTATCACCTGGTCACGAGACTTGGAAGAGGGTAGTTTCGAATATAGTAACGTAACGTACGTTTGTAGCGAGGGTTGGAGCGTGGGTTCGAGAGTGAAACGGAGGAAAGAATGGAAATAGGGAAAGTCGAAATGAATGGCCGTGTGGAGACACAAGGTTGTCTTCAGGTGTAAAGAACGCTTAACACCTCTGGCAGGTACCGGCAGTAAAATAATTAAAAGTGGCAGGTACTATTCAATACAAAACCGAAATAAAATTAAACAATGGGACAATGGAGCACCAGCCAGTAATACAGTTAGCCATCGTACCTGCTCCACCATCCCCAAGGACTACCCTCGACAAGACTTTCCTGAAATACGGCTTTCGAATCAGCGTGTAACAACGCTGGATGTTAAAACTCCTGGTAAAAAAAAAGAAACAAAAAAACACTTTAGAATCGCTGGAAACACGCGCATCAAGTCGAATCGCATCTTCCTTTCGCTCGAGCGAAATTTCCCCCGCCACGAGAAAACCGTCGACCAACTTGAAATCTCCTCCAAGACATTTATTACAGCAACGAGATTAATCCGAATTAATCGATTTAAAGACAGTTTAAACATCACGATCCCACGCCACGGAATTTTACGTTTCACGGTCGACGAGGGCCAAAGAATTTCCGCAACCCTTCCTCCTCGAGCACATCTTGCTTCGATACGACCGCTGTAAATCTCGAAAGGTACTTGTCGCCCCACTGCTTCTATATACACGTACATACGCCAATATCTTTCCAACTGTCTCGTCTTCGATCAACCTCCCTTTTCTTCGAGACATAAAAAAGAGAGGAGAAAGGTAGGGAGCACTCTTCTTCTCTTACACACTTCATCTATGGTTTTTCAACCCAGAGAGAGAGAGAGAGAGAGAGAGAGAGAGGATCGAGAGGAGAGGAAATTTCACGATCCGGAGAGACACAGGAGTGGATGACGACCTGGCAGGCGAGGAGCGGTTTCGTCATTGGCGACAACGGGCAACAAATAATTAGGTAACCTCGCCTGGCCAACTGTGTAAACTGCGGCTCCATCGGCGATCATCGGCCGATGTACATATGAAGACATCCGAGAGAATACGACGGCGACGAAGACGACTGCGACGACGACGGAGGGAATACAAGACAAGAGGAAGAAGAAGCGGAGGAAGGAGAGGAGAAAGAGAGGTGGAGAGAGAGAGAGTCGTCGACCCGGACACCTCCTCCTCCTCCTCCTCTTTCTTCTTCTTCTTCTTCTTCTTCTTCTTCTTCTTGGTCGCGTCGCATGGTCCCCATCCCATGGTTCGAGCAATGGGGAGGGAGGGAGGGGGGGGAAAAAAATCATAAGACCGCGGCCGTTGTCGGCTGATGCTCCTTGTCGAGCGTGTTCACGAGGATCCGACAAAAAGCCTCGCTCAGGCAAGAAGACGGAACTCCGTATCTCGTGCCATTCCGAGCGGAGCGGACTCCCGCCGCCTCGTCTAATTAAGGTCGATCGTTAGATTAGACGGGAAAATTGGCCGAGATCGAAAATAAACGTGCAGAAAGAAAGGAAGAGTAAAATCTGGAAATGCGCGCCTACCTCTTTCGTATATTCCTATCCCTTCTCCCCCTCCCTCTTCTCTCTCTCTCTCTCCGCCCACCCTCCCCCCCTCTTCGCCCGTATTCGAAAATTCGGCCCGAAAATTATTATATTCGCGGGGCCGAAAGAGTCGAGGAATCGCGAATACGAAGTTCCATAAAAGTGATTTAATTCCCCCCACCCCCCCCCCTCCGCCCGGGAGGAGGAACAACTCGTTCGTACAACTCGGCCGCGCGAGGGTGAACGGCTAAAAGGTAATAGTTAATAACAGCGCAGCTGAAAAGGGGGATTCGGTAATCCGGTTCTAATTTCTAAAACAAAGAGAGAACGGTGCGAGGAGGGGAGGGGGGGGAGGGGGGAGAGAGAGGAGGAGGAGGAGGAGGAGGTCGGGGATACGGAGCGGAGGAACGAAAAGGGAGAAAGATGAGGAGAGTGGAGATGGAGTAGGGGAGAGAGAGAGAGAGAGAGAAAGGGAAATATTCTCTCGTTGAGGCGAACCCGAGATCCTGAGTTGGGTGGGTTTCGGAGGCGAAGAGAAGAGGAGAGGAGAGGAGAGGAGAGAGAGAGAGAGAGAGGGGAGGGGGACGGTAAGGGTAGATGTGGAAAGAGGGCTGAAATTGGGGGCGGTCTGAGAGGAGGGGAGCGAAGGGGGGGCTGGGTTCCACCCTGGAACACATTAACTGCAGGGCGACGGGGTATATAGAGACGGGTTGGGGGGAGGCGACGCCACTGGCGTAAGCTTCAATGGAATACGTTCGAGAGCGTGGCAAGGAAAAGAGCTTAATCTGACCTTTCTTGCGAGTCACGCAAGTATATATGCATGTATACTCGAGTATCGGCTTTGCTTCGCTTGGCTACCTTCTTCTCTCTCTCTCTCTCTCTCTCTCTCTCTCTCTCTCTCTCTCTCAGCCCGATCGAAGGGCGAAAATTATCGAATCGATCGTACGATCCGCCACGATAATTCGGGAGGAATGTCGAATGAGCGAGAGCGAGAATTTTTCTCTTTTTTTTCCTTTTTAAGGGAGCGGTAAGAATAATAAGATCCGGATACGATGTGTGATCCGACACGGTA